CTAGCTGTTTCATGTGGGGACCTGTCAATTTAAGAAAACAACAAATAGTGCCATTTTTACCCTGTAGGTGAAGTGTCACTTCAGTCACTTGCACTCGTTCCCAGAGTTGATTTAGCTTTCTGTAGGAATGTCTGTCTGTCTGCTGGATTGTTAGATTTTTTCTTTCTTTCCATTTCCAAATCTCACAACCTGTCTGTATGTAACTGGGTGCAGGCTTCCCCCTGCCTGCACTGGGGTACAGGTCCCCAAGCCGATTGCAGCAGGGCAGCTTGCAGGTGTGGCCATGCTGTCCCAGGCAGAATTTCCTGGGTAGTCACCTGAGTTTTAAAAATTAAGCTCTTTCTTATCACAAAGCCATGGGTTAATTACCCACTCCCCTAAATGCAGAAAGTACTGAATAGCTATATAATTTGTACAAAATAGACTCATTTCGTACAGATTTTGTAGCCTTTTCTGGTTAGCAGTAGACTCGGGATGTTTCACATGTTATTACTTGTGCTGTGACAAAGCCATCTGCATGGCTGCTCGGCTAACCTTGGACTTGGGTGGTCCTCCCCAACAGCTGTTGGGCAGTCAGCCCCCACATTGTTCAGCTTCATTAAGCCACTCAGCACCTTCCCCTCTGTCCTCTCATCAAGTCCTGGATGCTGAGCACTGTGCTGGGCGGCGGGTTTGAGAAGGGAACAGACAGAAGCTGAAGCCAAAGGTCCCTGCCACTCTTGTGGACGTGCCAGTCCACAGCAGGTATGTGCAGATGCTGGCAGTGTGCAGTCTCGGTGGTGGGCAGGAAAGGCAGAGGAGGGGCCCTGGGGAGTCTAACCTAGATCAGGGCCTGCAGTCTAGTACAGGAGGGAACGAGGGTTGAGGGCCCCGGGAAGTCTGTTTGGCAGGACAGGCCTTGCAGCCTCAGCAATAGCAGAGCATGACTGGAGACCCACAGATATGAGTGGGTGGTCAGGAGGGGTTAGGCCAGCCTCAAGATGCTGGCCTTTCAGATCAGATATATTTTTAGACCTAGAATGAGCTTTAGGCAAGTTTTTGAAAAATGAATTTCTCTGACAAGTGTTTCTTGAGACTCTTTCACATTCTTTACTTGCCAGCAAGGTGGCCTGGCACGCGGGCTATTGCAGTACGAGGGCAGGTGAGGTGTGGACCTGAGCTTGCACACGGACACAGCCCAGGCCAGAGAGAGTGCCGGTTCCCTAGCCAGACTGTAATGCCATGTCCATAGCAATGCTTTCTCAGTTGTCACACCAGACCCTCTGTGGCAGGTGGCCCGACGTGCCTGCCATCAGGAGCAGACACACGATAAAGACACTTCTGTGCCTGCACTGCAGCCACAGGTTCACTGCCCCCAGTAGGAGGCAAGAATCCACGTCAGTGCAGACACCCAGCCTCCAGGGGCCTGGCAGGAAGGGTTCCCCAGGCTTCAGCTTGGATATGCTGCCTGTGCAGGCTGTCCACTCCTCAGCTGGGGACACACAGGTCTTCCTGTGCAAGTGTATCTTGGAGTGAACTTGACCTGGCCATGGCTGTGAGGTGCCCTGTGGTGCTCAGCTCTACCCTGGCCCCTGCTGGTCTTTCTTTTGTGCTGCCTGTAACTGAAAGGAAGCCCTCTGGGTCAGCTGTGGCTTTCTGGAGGGCTCTCCTCAGAGTTTGGCTGTGGAGGGTGAAAAGAGGGTGCTTCCCCACCCTGGCAGCCACAGCCTCTGGGCCTAAGGCCCCTTGCTTGCCCAGAAGATGGTACTGCTGGCCCTCCCTGCCCTCCAGGGATGCCCCCCCACCTGCCCTCCAGGGATGCCCCCCCAACCTGCCCTCCAGAGCTGCCCCCTTACCTTCCCCTTTAGGGCTGCCCCCCCCCCAGCTGCCCTCCAGGGCTGCCCCCCACCTGCCACCCAGGGCTGCCCCCCACCTGCCATCCAGAGCTGTCCCCCACCTGCCCTCCAAGGCTGCCCCCCAACCTGCCCTCCAGGGCTGCCCCCACCTGCCCTTCAAGGCTGCCCCCCACCTACCCTCCAGGACTGCCCCCCACCTGCCCTTCCCCCCACCTGCCCTTCAAGGCTGCCCCCCTACCTGCCCTTCAGGGCTGCCCCCCACCTGCCCTCCAGGGCTGCCCCCCTCCCAGCTACCTGCCCTCCAGGGCTGCCCCCCTACCTTCCCCTTTTGGGATGCCCCCCCAGCTGCCCTCCAGGGCTGCCCCAACCTGTTGTCCAGAGCCTCCCCCCACCTGCCGTCCAAGGCTGCGCCTTACCCCCTGTCATCCAGGGCTGTCCTCCCCTGCCTGCTAGCACTCCCCGCCCCTCCAGCTGCCCTTTAGGGCTGCCCCCCCAGCCTCCCTTTTGCCTGCTCTGCCCCAGGACGCATCAGCTTCTTAGGGAGGTGCTACCTCTGGTTCCCTCCTGGGCTCCACTGCAAGGGTCCTCTGTGTTCCTGTGGCATCTGTCACAGGAGGCTGTCTGTGGCTCCTCTCTGTGTGCCCAGCACATTCTGCCACTCTTTCCATGGGTCAGCATTCATGTGTGTCCCCTGGCTGGGACCTGGTGTGTGTTCAGGACCTGCTGGTCGTGGGTGTTGGTGGGTGACCCAGCATGGCGGGGGCTCTTGCCCTGTACCCTCAGGTGAAAGGCGTGTGCATTCCTGTTGGATCCCATTCCTGTTGGCATCGACACCCTTCTGAGAGAAGAGCCTCATGCCCTCTTCGCCCTGCTGTTCTCTTGCAGTCTGTCCCCTCCCCTCCTGTTTCCTCCTGCTGCTCTCTGTTCACAGTCCCCACTGTTGGTTCATCCAGCTGTGTGCTTCATTCTGATGGCCTTTATCAAGTGTCCCCACAGTGTGGCCTTGCTTTGCCTGTCCCTTGCTCTGCAGCCTGTCTGACCGCTGCTAGGATTTTACCAGTGAGTGTGGGGACAGGGGATGTGAGAAACAGGCTCACCTGTCCCCACCAGCCCAAAGAGCAGACTGAGAGGCCCGAGGCAGAGCAGAAAGCAAGCTTTACTGTCCGTCTTGCAGGAGTGGCGCTGGGGGGGGGGGGCAGGACACCCAGAGCAATTACATCCTGCTGTCTCCTAGTGCCCTGCGACCCTCCCTGGTTTCTCGTTGGCTGAGTACCATGGGGTGCACAGTCTTTCTGACATCGCCTCGTTTCCTGTCTCCTGTTGGGCTGTTTAAGGAAATATACCTTTAGTGTTCCCATCTCCCTGCTCTCTTGTGGTGGAGAGTCTTCTGGATCTAGTGCCTTTGGCGCGGACACTGCTCTCACTTCCTTACTAAGTTACCATTTCTTAACGGAGAGAGCCTCTCTGTCGGTCAGGCCTTCTGTTTGTCAAGGGGCAGTTGAGGGCATGGACTTGGGATCTGCCACATCCACAGGCTGTGATGCTGTTGTGTGAGTTAACTGCTGTACCTTCCATTCTGTTTCTCCTCCAGCTGCCTTTATTACAGCCCAATTTTACATTTAAGGCTAAATACTGATTTCTGAAAATGGACCACCAGACTTTCTATTTCTTGGAGGGGGTGGGAGGACTTTGTGTGTAAGGGTAGGGTTTCTGTGGTGGCCTCTAGCCCTGGGCTGGCTGAGGGGATATGAGAACAGGAGTAGGGGTAGGGACTCTGAGACACCTGGCATTGGTGGGCTAGAGGTCCTGGTAAAGAGTGTTGGGTGGGACACTAGGAAAGAAGGTGGGAAGGCAGAAGCTGGTGACTGGAGACACTTGGCATTGGGATGACCAAGGAGGGCTGGGACAAGTGTGGGGCTGGGTGGTCATGTGGGAAAAGGACAGACCCTGACACTGAGGAGGATGGGGGCCCAGTGTGGGGGTCGTGCAGGGGGTCTGGATCTAAACACCAGGAAGAGCATTGGGGGTGGGGGGAGCAGAGCAGGAGGTGGGCTGTGCTCTGGGGTGGGGCGCATGGACCAGGGCAGGTGGACCGTGGCTGCACTTGCAGGACCCTGGAAGGCTGGGCCTTGCTCCTTTGCTGTCTCTGTCACCAGCAGGGGTGACAGGGGTCGGTCTGTGGGCCAGGATGTCACTCCTGTGTGGCTCAGAGAAAGCAGCAGTGAGCCAGAGTTCAACCCCTAGTGACTTACAGGGAGTTGCTGCAGGGGTTCCCTCAGGTGGGCACAATCTTTAGGTACAACAAACAGCTTGGTGACCTCCTTCCGACAGAGGCAGTCTCAGGTTTGCAGGTGTCCGGGGATCCTGCTTGGCGGCCCTGCGGGAAGTTTCTGCCATGTGCTGGGCACCAGGGACTGCTGGTGAGTCTCCCCGAGTCCTACGGGGGAAGAGCCACAGTCTTACCAGCTGCATGCTTCAGGCGTCGTTGCTGGTTGGCCTGTGGGCTCGCGAGAGCAGCCTGTGCACCATGCTTCCCGCTCCCCAAGTGCTTCCCTGCTCTTCCTTTGGCTCTTTGGAGTCGGCTGTCCTGTGCCTTCGGGCTTAGAGAGTGGGGCTTGGAGGTGTCATCTGGAGCAGACAGTTGGCAACTGGCAGAGCAAATATCTGGAAGTCCTGGGACATCTCTTTCCCCTTTGACTTTGTTTTGTTTTGTTTTAAGAATTTATTTTAATTGTAGATGGACACAGTGCCTTTATTTTATGTATTTATTTTTATGTGGTAATGAGGATCAAACCCAGTGCCTCACAAATGCCAGACAAGCGCTCTACCACTGAGCTTCAATCCCAGCCCCTCAGCTTTATTTATTTTTAAAACGTATTTTGTTTTTTTAGTTGTGTTTGGACACAATACCTTTATTTTATTTTTATGTGGTGCTGAGGATCAAACCCAGCTCCCCGCACGTGTTAGGCGAGCGCTCTACCGCTGAGCCACAACCCCAGCCCCTCAGCTTTATTTTTGATTGTGTAAAATGTACTAGTGAAGCTCACCCTGGGTGGCACCAAGTCTAGTTACACCTCGACTCCACTGTCCTGTGCAGCGGGGAAGAGCTGAATGTCTGCTCTGGAAGGACCACCTGACACGCCTTTTTTTGTTGCTGTTGTTTAGGGCTCCAAATTTGGACGGGGAATTGGGTTCACCCAGACTTCTCAACGAACTTCTGCGCGGAGATCATTTGGAAGATCCAAGAGGTTCAGCATCACACGGTCCCTCGATGACCTAGAGGTAGGTCAGGTTAATTCTTCTTGCTCAAGACCCTGAAGCTGAAAATTGGCCTTAGAGATGCGTCCTTCCGTCCTTTGGCCTGCCTGGACCTCCCCTCCTCAGTGGGAGCCACGGCTTCCCAGAGCAGCTCCCCAGCGTTGCTTGACCTTTGCTGCCCTGGAGGTGCCTGTGAGGCTCCGTGGCCCTTGGCGTAGGAGGCGCTGTGTAGACAGGAGCTCGTTTGATCCCAGGAGCCTTCCTGGAGGAAGGAGTTGGTCCTGAGGGCACACTGTTCTGGGTGGCTCTTTCATCTTTTTTTTTTTTTTTACAAATAGTGAATTTTATTTTTGGAGAGCAACTTCAGTTTTACAGAAAACTTGAGCACAAGTCACAAAGCCCCCCACCCCCACCCCGCTCCTGTCCTCAGGGCACCAGTTGACATGGTTGTGTAGGAGGGGTGCATGTGTCACAGCAGATGCAGTGCTGCTAACTAGGGCACAGGGAACCGGTCATGCCTTAGCAGGTGTGGACAGGTGGACGATGCAAACCCACCTGGTGGCAGGGGCAGGACATGGCCCTAGACACTGTATGCCTTATTCCACCACTTTTAAAATGCTGCACTGTGTTTTCAAGACTTGCTCACCCGGCTTTAGCTCTGCTGCTGTCTTGTGGCCTGGTGTGGCATTCTGCTTCAAGTGCATGCAAAGTGCTCTCCTGCCCAGCTCCATGAGCACACAGTGGCACTGTGCCGGACTGTCCCATGGAAGGAAGGGCCAGGCGAGGGGCACGGCCACATGCTTGCCCCTGTGGCTGCTCTGACTCACTGTTCAGGGAGGAGGGCAGGGCTGTTGTGTGCTGCTGTCCTGTCTTCCAGTGAGGCTTTCTGCCAGGTATGCTGTCTGAGAGACAAACCAGACAGACCCAGGTCCCTGCCCAAGAGAGGGAGAAGCATGTGTGTGCAGCTTCGCTCAGCGTGGAGGGCCGCAGGTCACTGTGGTCACTGCAGTCATTGAGGTGGGCTTCCACTGCTCGTGTTTCTCACACCTCAGAGGTGGTCACCCAGGCCTGGGCCCTGACATCCTCAGTGCTAGAAGGAAGTGAGTGGGCTGGCTGTTTGGGTCTCTTGCCTCCAGTCTTGGGAAAAGCCCAGCTGGGGCATGGTCCTCAGTGCCCCTCCGCAGGCAGAAGCCTGGGTGCGGAGACTCTGTTGCTCTCAGGCTTTCCATCACCTGTGCCACCTCTTTTGTTTTGGTACTGGGTCTTTAACCCAGGTGTCCTCTACCACTGAGCCACATCCCCAGCCCTTTTTTTCAATCTTGACGTAGGGTCTCACTAAGTTATTTAGGGCCTTGCTAAGTTGCTAAGGCTGGCTGTGAACTTGGGTTCCTGGCTCCGCCATGCCATCTTCTCTGCCACCTGGGAGTGGACCAAAGACAGCGGCAGAGAGCTCTCTGTGGGCCTGTTTAGTGAGCAGCACAGTGCAGAGCCACCCGAGGTCAGAGGAAATTCTGAGGAAATGAGAAGGCACTTTGAACCGAATAATAATGAAAATACCATCTGTCTAAACTTGTGGGACTTAGCACAACTGTGCTTATAAGTTCATCGCCCCTAGATCACCAAGGAAAGGAGGTAGAAGGCATCATAAGTGTGGACAAGGGCCAGAGAAGTCATGGCTGGACAGTAACAATGGTCAGAATAGCAGTTTATGAAACAGGAAACTAACCAACTCAACTTACAACAGATAAAAGAGGATTACTTCCCAACTGGTCTTATGAGGTCACCATAATCTTAGTACCAATCTGCTGAGACACTAGAAGAAAGGAAAGTTCAAGCAAGCTCACCAACAGTAGCCTTGAGAATCCTAAGCCACACATTAGCTAGTGGAATCCAGCAGTTTACAAAAAGGGGAACAAACACCACCTTTATTCTAAGGGTATAGTGTTTTTGAATATTTGAAAATCAATCACTATAACTTATCACATTAGCAGAGTAAGGTAGGAAAGGCCTACTGCCAGTAGAGGCAGGAAGACACTTGATAAAACTCCGAACCCATTTGTGGCAAAACAAACAAAACGTGATACAGCAGAAATGAGGGCCTCTTAGTTTGAAGAAGGTGTGGGAACCCATGGCCTGTGTCCTGTGCAGTCTGTCCTTGGAGAGCAGGAGCAAGAGAAAGGCGTCTGCTTCACCTTTCTATTTAAATTTTTGTGGGACGTCCTAGTTAAATGTCCTAAGAAGGTAAAAACAGTAGAATCCTAAAAAGCTTGCAAAGAGGGCTGGGGCTGGGGCCAGTGGTAGAGTGCTGCCTAGCACGTGGGAGCCCTGGGTTCGATCCTCAGCACCACATAAAATATAAATAAATAAAATAAAGGTATTGTGTCCAACTACAACTAAAAAATATTTTTAAAAAAAGCTTGCAAAGAATAAATGAAAATGTTTTTCTCAGGTGATATGATTGCAACCTAGAAAACCCAAATGTGTCTGTAGAGAGTAGTGAGTGAATTGAGCAAGGTTGCTAGACATTTGGTTTCTTTTATTGATGCCTGTGGTGCTGGGGAGGGACTCAGGGCCTCCTTCACACTGAGCCCGCACTCTCCTGCTCAGCTGTGTGGCTGCCCTGGAGGTGTGGTTCATATATAGGAGCCAGTTATGAGTACAGTTAGAAAACGAGGGTATGCATTTTAGTCAAAATACCAGCAGGTATTTTGTGGAACTTAAGAAAATGACTCTAAAATATTCATGGCAGTGGAAACAAAATATCATCGAAGTGTAAAAGGCTGAGAGTAGCCAAATATATTTTTTTCTACTTTTGACTCTGGTAAAGTACACAGAACAGAAGTTGCCATTTCAACCATTGAAGGGGTGCAGTTCAGTGCCCTTAGGCACGTCCACCGTAGGCACTGCCGTCTCTGTCCATCTGTACCACTTTTTTTGTCTTGCTAACTGGAATTCAACCCATTACACAGGAACTCCCCTTCCCTCCTCCTGGCACCCGGCAAGCCCTCTACTTTCTGTAAGCAGGGATTTTGACCATGAGTAGAGTCCTGCGGTATTCACCCTTTTATTTCACTTATGCTAAGTGAAATAAGCCCTCACTTATTTATTTATTTCACTTATGCTAAGTGAAATAAGCCCTCAATCCGTATTGTGGATTGAGGATGGCAGTTTCCCGTAAGAATTTAAATTTATTCCTTCAGCTGGTAATATTCCTCTGCAGGGAAGACTCACTCTGCTCATCCATTTGTCTGCTGATGGATCCTTGGTGTTGCTGTGAACTTGGGTGTCCAAATATTCCTGCTTTCCAACGCTCAGCACATAAAAAATAAAATAAAATAAAAGAGATAATATCTTGCATTCTATCAGATCATGATGGAATAAAGTTAGAAATCAATAATAAAATAAAAAATGGATGCTATTCTAACACCTGGAGATTGAATAATACATTACTGAATGACCAATAGATATTGGAAGAAAACAGGGATGAAATAAAAAATACTTAGAGGTAAATGAGAATAGTGATACAATATATAAAGTCTCTGGGACACAATGAAGGCAGTGCTAAGAGGAAAGTTCATTGCATTGAGCTCATTCATTAAAAGAATAAAAAGTCACCTAACATTACATCTCAAAGCCCTAGAAAAAGAACAAATCAACATCAAAAGCAGTAGAAGACAGGAAATAATTAAAACAGAGCTAAAATCAATGAAAATTTAAACAAAAAAATTCAACAAAAAAATCAACAAAACACAAAGTTGGTTATTTGAAAAAAGTATATAAAATTGATAAACCCTTAGTTAAGCTAATAAAGAGAAAGAGAGAAAACTCAAATTACTGAAACTCTTACAGAAAAAGGAAATATCACAACGGACACTACTGAAATAAAGATGATGATCAGAAACTATTTTGAAAATCTATACCCTAATAAAATAGAAAACATTGACAAATTTTCTGGAGACATATGACCTACCCAAATTGAATCAGGAGGACATAGAAAATTTAAACAGATAAATTTCAAGCAATGAAATTGAAGACACCATCTCAAAAGCCTACCAACTAAGAAAAGCCCAGGAGCAGACAGATTCTCAGCTAAGTTCTACAAGACCTTCAAAGAAGAATTAACTCCAATACTTCTTAAATTATTCCATGAAACAGAAAAGGAGGGAACCCTTCCAAACTCACTGTGAAGCTGTATTACCCTGATACCAAAACCAGACAAAGACACATCAAAGAAAGAAAACGAGACCAATATCCATAATGCGTCTACATGCAAAAGTTCTTAATAAAATCCTGGCAAACTGCATACAGAAACATATTAAAAAGACAGTGCACCATGATCAAGTGGGATTCATCCCAGGGATGCCAGGTTGGTTCAACATATGGAAATTAATAAACGTGATTCATCACATCAACAGACTTAAAAACAGGAATCACACGATTATCTCAATAGACACAGGAAAAGCACCTGACAAAATTCAGCATTCATTCATTGCCGCAGTCTGGCTGGGCACAAAATCATGAGCCACTTAAGCAGTAACAAACTTTATTTTTGAAACTGCCGCCAGTGTGCTCCCGGGAAGATTGCCGACCCACACACGCAGCGTTCTCCCGGATCCCAAGAGGAAGTTCCTCCTCCAGAATTCCCTCCTACCTACCGCACTTCCCCAACCAATGGGAACTCTCTAGGAGTCCCGTAGCAGGCCTAGGTGAACAGCAGGAGTCCAATATCCATATGAATGCAAATCTTAACATAATCATATCATCTCAATGGCTTGCTGGCATCACCTTTCAACCAAAAATGCCATGCATCATATTACTTGGCTGTGGCTCTTAGCATCTCCCCCCTTCTGTTTAATTAAGCAACAAGCAATGTGGCTAGGGACCGTGCCTGTTAGGTTTGTCCAATTCTGCCGCAGTCTGGCTGGGCACACAATCACGAGCCACCACACAGCTTGTAGATTCAAACAGCAACTCTTTATTCCCGAACTCACACCAGCCGTCTACAAACACGTTCTGGGGAAATC